GGGATGTCTGATATGAAGGGGGACTACAGATATAAAGAGGGATACTAATGTGAAGGGGGGGTCCTGATCTGAAGGTGGAGGCTTTGATGTGAAGGGGAGAACCCAACCTTTTTTGTGTATTCTTACATGGGGTTCCCCTTAGGGGTACCTCAAGATTTTTCATATTCTTAAAGGGTACTATGACTGAAAAAAGGTTGACAAACGTTGGTTTAGAGCTAGAGAACACATTTATCAGAGGTATCTTGACGTGGCAGTGTGGCTTTCACTTATATTTTCAAATGTATGGAAAGAAAAACTGAGAAGTTGAAAGAGAGTAGAGTATTTTTTGCTGACTAGCTTGAAAGTCTGCTGGGGATCCCCTTTGCTGCAAAAGGCCATGTGGTTCTTAATCAAGCACTGGACCTGCCAAGTCAAAATGCTATGCACCCTTCTGGAGAAGGTCACCTGCATACATTTCCCCACGAACATTGCCTTCCTACTTATACTCTGTTCTGTAGTAAAGCCGGAATGGACAAATCCCAGGAGCCAGGTAGCCAATGTTCCTTAAACATTACAGCCGGTGCCTAACTTTTGAGGTTTTCTCTGGTTGATGCTCATGGAGCTGGCTCCTGGATTGGACAGACTGGCTCCTGAATTCCATATTAATTTGTCCACCCCTGAGTCATCCAATTGCTTTCACTTTCCTAGTGTCAGCCAATAAGTAGCGCTCTTCAAATCAGCCCCAGCGAGCCATCTTTTTGGTAGAAATTAATTAGCCCCGTTTTGTTCACAAAGAGCAGCTTAAAGCTTGCTGGTGATCCCTCCCTGAGCAGAGAATGTTCATGATGAGCTACAGCAGTAATTGAAGAAATAATTTAGGCATGCATTGACAACATCAAACAAATCACGAGAATCTACAGGCCTCCCAATTAACGATGGCAAATTAGCAGACACACGTGCCTACCTGGAAGATGGAAATGTCTGGGCGCCTGCTGATAGGAAGAAGATGTGGATTTGGTGTCTGAGCACATAGATAAGCTGGGGGTACTCCGGCCACTTTCACTGCCTCCAATGAAAAAAACAAAAACAAAGAGAACAAATAAAACCAAAGTCTGAGAACAAAGTAAGGAGCTTCACCTTCTTCACAACTGTGTGGCCTACTCAGCGTTACCTTATGACAGGCCTAACGGCGAAAAGTTAGAAACTGCAATTGTACATTATAAAGTGTACTAGTACATATTAACATGTAAATTCTCCTTCATCCACAGATAACATATGTCGGATATTATAAGGGTCATAAACGTGAGATAGTAAGATATGGGTGATGATAATAGTTTTGTCTGCGCTCCACTGAATTTTGTCCAAGCTTCTTCCACATCGGGGTGCTGATGGGGGTCACACACTGCTCCAATTTTAAAGTCAGCAGTGTTCATCCAGCTGAAAGAGAACTAAAGCCAAACCATTTTGTTGGCTTTAGTCCTCTTTTGGGATACAGGAGTACATGTGCTCTTGTGACCCAAGGTCAGCATCTAACGTGGTACTACCTGCTATTTGCTGACAGTGCTGAGCCGCACCGCAGCCGGTAATGATCCCAACCATATTGCTGGGATATACCCCACTGCTTGATTGACATCTGGCTCTGCCTCTCTAGTGCCAGAGCCAGCTGTGCCTGCCCCTCCCCTGTCTGCCCCCCAAAGAGTGCTGGAGGAATAGAGAGGGGAAGGAGGAATCCCTGCAGGGAGTTGACAGTCATCGCTCTCTGCAGGGAGAAGCCGTGAGCTGAATTGATCAGCGGTTTGTGATTGCTCAGCTCTCGATCTATAGAACGGCATGTGACATCTGCAGTATCACATGCCAGCTCTAAGTATTGGGAAGGGTACATTTTGCTCTGCCAATACTTCTCCTTTAAGCCTCATTAGTAATTTGCTGCAAATCAAAGTCACTTCATTTGTGCAGATTCCTTTTTAGTACCAGTTATGATTAATTATAAATTATTTGTGGTTATTTCAGGGCTACATAATTTGAAAATATGTTTATTAGCGAATAGCAATCCAGACTGTGCAACAATCGAGCTGTTAGGTTAGGAAGTTGAAGCCTTGTTTGAGAATAAAATCAAACAAGAATCTTAAAGAATCAATGTTTCATATGCGATTTGACGTCTTTGAGGGATTGATGAAAACTGCTTTATTTACAACAAATTAGAACTAGCAGAGTTTAACAACATGATGAACATGAGATGTGCCTGTGCCCCACTCTTTGGGAAATGCCACAATGATTATATATTAATGTTTAACCTTAATTGGAGATTCTGTCTGCAGTTCACTGGACCTCCTGTGGCTTCCTCCTACCCTGCGCTATTAAATGATTTCATCTTCCTCAGCCTCTACATTCTTATTTTATAAAAAGATATTGTAACAAATGTTATCTATTATAATTTTATCTTTTATATTTAAATCTTTGTGAATACCAGCAGAAAGGTGGGTCTTGGGGCTGTCTGTACCTATTGTGGTTAGGTACTGTAGCACCCTGTAAGCAGGAGTGCTTATTGAAACTTAGTTGTTGTCAGATTGTAATCAGTCTGATGCTGATCTATAGCGTATGCTGTCTGCTGCTGGGTGTAACCTTGACACAGACTAAAGCAACCAATAATAGATTATGAATATCTATGTCTCCCTGGCCAATCTCTAGGAAGTTCATGGCCAGTGGTGCATGCTGGGAGAGGACACAAATATTCGGGGCAGACCATGTGAGGGTTTCTTTGTCCCCCGGGCCCTGCCGGGCTGTTACTGACTGTCAAATCTGGCTAGGCCTGAAGCCTAGGAGGCCAAGCCACATGCTCACACTGAGGCGTGAGTCTGGGGACCCAGTAACTGATACCGAGGTTGAGGATGACAGAGTAACTTCAACAGATGTGGGGAACCTGAGAAGTTATCCTCTGCTATGAATGGAGTGTATGTTCCTGAATGGACTGGTGACTTCCTATTCAAGTACTGCTTAGCTGGGTGCTCTAAACACAGATTGCCCTATTGGCTTAAAGGTCCTAGTCTGTGATGGCAGCAGATGCATTGTTCTACCACTTAAAGGAGTCTACACCATCCTGGATGTTCCTAGCCCTAAACCTCTCTCTCCCTGAAGTTCTACAATAAAGCTCATTTAACATCATATCTAAAGTGTGGATCTCTGCTTTATCTGTGGCCATAGAAGGGTGGTAAGTGCTATTGGGGCAGTTAGGTTTCTAAAATCCCTAGACAGGCTAAGGAAGACCCGTTTATCCAGCGGCTCCTTTGGGGGTGAATGCTAGGAGTACACCCCTTTTGGGGTTGAATGAGTACTAAGGGCTCTATAGGCACTTACAGAATATACCCGATCACACTATGTACTCAGCTACTTCTAGACTCAGTAATGGTTTGCAGTGCCTGCTACTATACTACCCAGTTATAACATCAGCATTGTAATAAAAATATGGTAAACTCCCTGTTATCCAGCACCCATGGGGATCGGTAGATGCCAGATAACTGTAGTTTCTGGTTGCTTGAGAGTTAATAGTAACTCTCTAGCAACCCCTACCCACCTCCTGCGGCAGCCCGCATCTCTCTCAGATACTCTGCTCAGTGGGTGGGTACAATAGCCCCAATAGGAACAATAACCTGCTATTGCAATTTGTTTACATTCTGCTGCCGACCGCGGAATCTAGCCTATAATGTATTTAGTTGCTAATAAAACTTTTTTAGTGTGTTTTTAGTGTGCACCAAGCAACCAGCATTTGTGTAGTGTGCATCAACCCACAGGTAAAAAAAAAAATTTGAGAACATATTATGTCCTCAAATTTATTTTTATTTTTTTGCTGGTTGCTTGAATGTCAGGAAATGGGGGTTTATTGCACAAATTAGAGATGTTCTTGATAAAGCAATCAAAGCTTACTTTAAAAAATCTCTTTTATGTAGTGAGTGCTGCCTTCTGTCTGCCCATCACTTTCATCAACTTCCTGGATTCCCCAGTGTGCTTTGCGTCTCTTTCCCTGCTGCTTGATGTGATGCAATCTCAATTTTTCAAGACTACATATCCCATCATGCATTGCTGATCTTACATTGTTCAAACTAGGAATGCACCAAAATTTCGGCTGCCGAAACATATTGGCCGAAAGTGCCATCTTTCTGCCGAAATGGCTGTGCATCCCTGGTTTCTCTCCTCCCTGCTGGGCAGTGCTCTGTGTCCGCTCTGACACAGCGCAGCGTCCAGCAGGGAGGAGAGAAACTGTCACAGGAGGCCGAGCGGTGCAGGGGGATGAGAGCACTGTGAGCAGCCGGCGTCTCTCCTCCCCCAATGCTCAGCCTCCCATACCGCCCCGCTCAGCCTCCGGTGGCAGATCAGAAGAGCGGCGGTGGGGGGCGGAGAAAGCTGTCAACTGTCACAGGAGGCCAGGCCGGCGGTGTGGGGGAGGAGTCATCTGTCAGAGGAGATCGAGCTATCCTCCCCACATCGCTCGCTCAGCCTACTGTGACAGCGAATCAGAATGGAGAGCAGGTACAAGCAGTCAGTGATCGTTGAGTGTTTGTAAAAAATTGAGGACATAAGTGAGGGGAATTTTCCAAAACTGAAGCAGACAAAATCTGGAGCAATTGCCCATAGTATATAAAATATATATGATCCGCGCTACTGGATATTGAGCATCTCTCTTCAGTTTGTTCAGTTAAGATTTGAAAATGAAAGCTGATTGGTTGCCATGCACAGCTTCTCCAGATTTTGTCTGCTCCAGTTTTGATAAATTCCCCTCTATGTTTACTGTGTCCCCAATTATGAATGAATGGGAAGTGATCTACATCACTTCCTGTTCATTCATGATTGTGGACATGGTAAACATACTATGTCCACAAGTTATGAATGAACAGGAACACTCAGTATAGAGGATTCCTATTCGTTTATTAACAGGGCCTGCAGAAAAAAAGATTGAGGACTCTGTGTCCTCAATCTTTTTTTCTATTTTAAAAGGTAAATATCAGGGATCTGTTTAGACCCCCAATATTTCCTCAGAGCCCCCGACAGTAAAGATAAAAAAAATATTTAATGTAAATAAATAAAAAAAAATGTAAAAAAATTTGGAAAGGTTATTTTTTTCGGTTTTGGTTTCGGCCTGACATTTATTTTATTTTCGGTTTAGTTTCTGAAAATTTCATTTTGGTACACCTCTAGTTCAAACATTGAATTGTAGTTCAGAAGGCAGGCTCTGTGAGTTTGATGCCGACCTGTGACAGTCTCATTGTCACAGGTCGGCTAGAACTATGAGGTGAGTGAAAATCACTCACCTCATAGTTCTCCTTTAATAAGTAAGTTTACATCTTCTTGATGGATATCGTTATTAGGAGTGAGATAGAACAGAGGGAAGAACAGATTTATTTTTAGTCCATATATACCCTTCAAGTTTTTATTGTTGTTTATTCCCATTTGGACACCATTGTCAACTAAAAGTGAGGGGAAATCTAAAATATAATTAAGTTGTCATTGCAACAGGAATCGAAGGTATGTCTTCCCCCTGGGGCACTTGTTTCTGTGACAACTACAAAGTGACATCCCTCACATTGGAGAGATTTCTTGTTGCTTTAAAGCAAACTTCAGCTAACGTTAGTTAAATACATTCCAGGTGCATTAAAACAAAAAGTGTACTAAATTTTACAACTTGTTTTCTTTAAAAATCAGCCAAAGATCAAGTAGAAAAGTCCACCCCCTGACAGCATGCTCTCTGTAAGAAAGAAGTGGTCACATTGCAGTGGTTGGACATGCTACTGAGTCAGAGCCAATCAGCGGGAAGCATGAGCTTTGCTTATTGTGGAACAATAGGTCTGACTCAGTAGGGGGAGTGTCAGACCTCTGCAGAGTGATCACTGTTTCCCCATAAACAGCCAGGATCCAACTCTGCAGATTCTAGCAGGGAACAAGATTTTTCTGCTCAAGCTGTTGCTGCTTTAGAATGAAAACAAACAGTAACGCTTTACACACCTCCTTTTGATTATACTTGGGATGTATTTACAGTAGCTGATTTAAAGCAACACTAAAGTCAGGAAGTAAAAATACATTTAAGTACCTTAACTATAAACAAAAATGTATCTTATTTGTGTATCACTCGACTGTAGATCCTCAAATCATCTCTCAAGTCATGCTGACACTGTCCTTCCTTCTGGAGGGGTGGCTACTTTTGTTCCCCATGGTCCCTGTGTGTGTTGTGCAGTAGCCACCGCTCAAAGCTCACTTCTGTGATGGACTACTATTACAATACAAATGAGTAAACTAAACATGAGATTGTAGTCCATCACAGGAGTGAGCTTGGATCGGTGACTACTTTACAACACACACAAGGACCATGGGGAACAGAAGTAGTCACCCTCCAGAAGGAAGGACAGTGTCAGCACCAATTCAGAGATGATTTGAGGATCTACAGCCGAGTGATACACAAATAAGATACATTTTTGCTATTTGTTTAGCTATTTGTATGCATTTTTAAGATTTAACTCGAGTTTAGTGTCATCTTAATTGTAGGTTTTTTTCTTTAGTTTGGCTAGGCTTGGGAAGAGTTAATACTGGTCAAATAGCTTTTGCTGTCCAAGCCCCCATGGAGGGGAATTCACATCACTTCCTGTACCTGAGAGGGCAGGACAAGAAATGCGTGGAATGGTTGTCACCAGGACAGCAAGACACAGAAAGTAATAATAACCTCTCAGAGGCTCAAATCCTTCCCCATTCTAGTTAAAACATGGTATGTTGCAGCCTGTGCCCTAATAGAGAGCTTTCCTATCATAGCTAGCCCCAAAATGAAGGGAGGGGAAATATTCTCAATGGAGACACAAGCTGCATATATCAACCTAACAGAGGTTCTATGCCTTTTCCACTATGTCCAGAACTAAACAAAATTCAGCCAGAGTTGGGCTTTGATTGATGAGAAATACCTAAGGAAAGTAGATTTCTAACATTGTATGTAGGTGGCTGCATGATGCAGAATATAAACTTTAATAAAATATCACTGACAGTCTGACTCATCTCCATTCCACCTACACATTTCTGTAACTGTAGTCCTGAGATCCTGGGAGGTGTGAAGTGACAGTAAATGCTGAAGACCCCACTCATTAAGATCAACCCAGCAATTATCTACATCTAGCAAAGCCTTGTAAAAATGGCACAATGGAAGTGATAACAAAGCAACTTTAATAGTAATGCCTGGAAGGTAGAGGAGTGTTAGGTTCCATTACGGTTTTATGAAACATCCATTGAGGGCTTGTAGCTATGATTGTCAGGTTCACAGGGCAACTGGTGATCATATTTTAATTTTAAAGAGCTGATCCAGTTGCCATCACTCCTCCAGAGCAGCTGATACAGAGCCAAGGCCTCTCCTACTGTGTGGGCAAACACAATCCAAAGTTTCATAGACCTTTTCAATGTCAATGTCCGGGAGTGCTAAATGGATGTGAAGAACAGGTGTTGGATGTCCTCATCTGATGCCTGTATGTGAGGGGCCATAATAAAACAAAAGGCTATGCATAAGGCTTGTTATTATAATATATGTTGAAAACCAAATTTGAATTGAAAAATCTGCAAATCTCTACTTATATCAGCATTTGGAGGCTGATGTTTCTTACCACAGATGTGAAACATGTGCATCTTTGTGGACCCAACCAATTGTTGGAAAATCTTTTTACCCTTTCTATCCTCAAATGTGTCTAATCCCATAACAGCTATCAAACCTTATTTGAAGGACAGATTGGATTTTAATTTATGTAATTAAAGCAGATGTTGTGTATATAAGTTCTTTAACAGCATACCATAAAGGAACAGATGTTGGAAGCAATGGTAAACTGTTCAATTTAACAAAGAACAAGAAACACAATGAAAATATAATGCCATCTGTGTTTACATTTACCTCCATGATCAATACTGTGTGCAGTGACATTTGTAATGTTTATAGATTACAGTGAAATTTAGGAATGCAATTTGTGCAGCGGACATTAAATTGTGCTGATGGATGTCAACATAATGGTCATGCAAGATGAATACATTGTTTCATGATCAGAAGCAAACATTTCTGGAATATTGGCCAAGGATGGTCCGGATTTCAGGCTATGCAAAAAAAAAGTCTGGGAAATCTCTAACTTCTCTGTATGTGTACGTGGCAAAGGCCAATAAAGGCCAATGAAGAGTCATACCACTTCTTTTAGAGCTCTTTCACACAAGCTTTCCAATCAGGTCCACCTGTCAGTTCTTTAGGCGAACCTGATCAGAAGCCCAATATTATTCTATGGGCAGCCGGAGAGACATGCATGCGCTTACATCCGGTTGCCCCTGACTCTGGCTAGGTCCAGAAAAACGATCTGAGTCCGTTTACATCCGATTCCCCATAGACTAACATTGGGTCTGATCATTTCAGTTTTTTTTCCTCCATAGCAAGATGGAGGAAAGAACTTGATGGACAAAGATGTCACAACAGTGAGAGCTGTTCAGATTGGCAGGGGATCCATGCACGGATACCCTCCTAATTGGACTGTGTGAAAGGGGTCTTAGTCACACTTAACAACAGATCTACCCTCACGTGAATGGGGGGGGGGGGGGGTATATAATGCCATCTGTGTTTACATTTACCTCCATGATCAATACTGTGTGCAGTGACATTTGTAATGTTTATAGATTACAGTGAAATTTAGGAATGCAATTTGTGCAGCGGACATTAAATTGTGCTGATGGATGTCAACATAATGGTCATGCAAGATGAATACATTGTTTCATGATCAGAAGCAAACATTTCTGGAATATTGGCCAAGGATGGTCCGGATTTCAGGCTATGCAAAAAAAAAGTCTGGGAAATCTCTAACTTCTCTGTATGTGTACGTGGCAAAGGCCAATAAAGGCCAATGAAGAGTCATACCACTTCTTTTAGAGCTCTTTCACACAAGCTTTCCAATCAGGTCCACCTGTCAGTTCTTTAGGCGAACCTGATCAGAAGCCCAATATTATTCTATGGGCAGCCGGAGAGACATGCATGCGCTTACATCCGGTTGCCCCTGACTCTGGCTAGGTCCAGAAAAACGATCTGAGTCCGTTTACATCCGATTCCCCATAGACTAACATTGGGTCTGATCATTTCAGTTTTTTTTCCTCCATAGCAAGATGGAGGAAAGAACTTGATGGACAAAGATGTCACAACAGTGAGAGCTGTTCAGATTGGCAGGGGATCCATGCACGGATACCCTCCTAATTGGACTGTGTGAAAGGGGTCTTAGTCACACTTAACAACAGATCTACCCTCACGTGAATGGGGGGGGGGAGGGGCCAACTCTCTCATTAGAAGCAAGCAAGGCTACTCCTAGCCATATGGTAAGTTGAGTTGCCACCATCAGAGGGTGCCAATCCAGTCAAATATCCTAATCGAACAGTTTTTAAGGTGTTCCTATAATAATTATATACATACCAGATTAACATAAAAAAGATTTACGCCTTCATACACACGCCTAATTATATTAAGGTATACCAAAAATATACCTGCAAAGTAGCTAATCTGATCTACCTTGGTTCTATCTGTTATCAGTGACTTGCATATTGATAAAGTGAGCTTTTGGCTGATACTAGACTGAAGTTGGTACTTGCTGGGCCACCCACGGTTCAAGTTTTTGCCGATTTAGCAGGAATCGGCTGAAATTTGAGCCATTGACCAACACAATCCCTATGTAAGCTCCATATATCTGTGTTGGAGGGGTTAATGACCCTCTCACCTCTCCCATAAATAGAGTCCTGGTTTTTGCTGCTCTGGAACTGAGAACTGCATCCTAGGAGGAAGGAGAAAAGTATACATGACCCCCCCCCCCCTCTATACCTGAAAATACAGACCGGCCAAGGGAGAAGCAGGAGAATGCAGCAAAGGTTTTAGAAGGAGCGTGGGGAGGGGTCATTAGGGGAACTGGTCACCATGTCCACTCAGGTTCCTTTGAATGAAAACATTCAAATAAGAGAACCCATTTGTAAACGGTTTTAGATGTTGCTTCAGGTTATGAGAGGAAAAAAAACAAAACATAAAAGCATAACAAAAGAAAAAGGGACAAATTCAAACATTAGTTTGTGTTCATGCTACCACAAAGGAGAAAGACTTTTATCTGTACCAACGCCATGTCAGCTACAGGAATCACAGCACAGATGCACTCCTGTCCTTACCTTTGAAGAAAGGGATGTAATGATGCCTGAATGTAGATGTGGGGCTTGTATGTTGGGACAGAGATGTGCAGCTGCTGGTACCAAAAGGCTCAGTACCAACTGATCAGCCAACAAAAAAGGAAATTAAAAGAACGGTTTTAGCTCCATGGAGGAACTCATGCACTAGCAGAGATAAATTGCAAAGCACTGTAAATAAAATAATAAGCAAATGTTTTGCAGCTTACTCGCTGTATAAGAACATGCAGAACCTTCTTCTTTATAAACAGGTTTTGTTGGTATGAGATGGAAAACAAGTACAAAAAAGAATACAATTATGTTTTCCTTAGAACCAACCTCTCCGAAGAGCCTTAACTAATAAATACAGCAGGGTATTTTAATGACAGACAATCAAGTGGGGGCACCGGGAAACATTAAAGACATCAAACTGACTGGTTGCTGTGTGTGCTGCTGTCATACGTTTTTGGAGTTACCTATTGCTAAAGCGTTTTTCCATTTTTTTACAAGTTTTCAGAAATAGACACATTTTTTTTTGTCTTCCACTAATAGATTTCCCTACCTAGACCTATTTTGTCTGCAAAAATACTGTCAGCTGAAAGTCAGTCTTTTTAAATACATTCAGCATTTAAAATAACTTGTTTAATGATGTGATCTGTTAATAATATAAAAATAAATACTCTTAACGGCTGTTTGATCTGAGAAGGGGTCTTTGGGTGCCCAACAGCCCAATAAGGCCTCTCCTAAAAACTCCTCCCATGTCTCCATCCGACTCGAGGGCAGTTACTGTTCCCAAGTTCCAAGGAACCAAGCCCCTCCTACAATTTCTGACACCAACAGGGGGAGCACCCATACCAGCTGATGGCCCCCCATTTGTGTAACTGACTAAGAGTTTCAGACCCCCCAAAGACCCCCTAACCCGCCAAGCTGCTGTGACATAAAAAAGACCTTACAACCAACAAAAAAACAAAAATTCAGGGAGGGAGGGTGGGACAACCTGCTACCTCCATCGAATTTCCAGAAAGAACGCCCCTCAGCCCTTGCAGTTCGAACCCATGCGGCTCCTCCCGGACACCTGACCCCAACGTCCAATCAGGTAAGATCAGCTAATCCCCTTTTTATTTGAACCTCTTCTCCAGGGACTATTTTAACCTCTTCTCCAGTCTCTTTGGGTCTGTTTTGGTTGGAAAGAGGAGCTGAGTCTTTGCTGAGAAGGGGAGCAGTGAAAGCTGAGCTATTGAGTCACTGCTGAGAGAGGAGCAAGGGGAGCTGATCTGTTCAGCCACTGCTGATAGAGGGGAGCTGAGCTGAGCTGTTGAGCCACTGCTGGTAGAGAGGAGCTGAGATGCTGAGTCACAGCTAAGAAGGGGAGCTAGGTGCTCAGAGAAGGACTTAGAGGACTTCAGTGCTTCTGCTGATAACTCTGAGGATGAACTGCTCCACAGCTCCTGCAACTATAGGTCAGTGTGGACTTCTTTAAAGCATATTTAGTACTTACTAAGAATATCCAAATCCTTCAGTATCTATATCCTGGCCACAGCTTACAGAGGGTGATGTCATTCAGCCTCATTGATCATTTTGGCAAACAGCTTAACATGAACCTAGCTTCTGCTTATGAAATTTCCCATCGCATGGTCAGTTTGCATAGTCCAGGTTATAAGGAGCAACAAAACTGTTCATTTTAATCAAAATGTGCATTCATTCTGTAAAAGTAATTTTTCTTATCAATGAGCTTAAAATATAAGCACTGTACAGTACCATGTTCTTTTTTTTCTGTACACAAGTGGCAGAGATGCAAATATAACAGAATAAAAGTATTAATTCTACTTTACCTGGTCTGCTGTAATGTTGAGGTGAATGAGATGTCGGAGTATAGCGGCCATAACCCACGGAGCCAGTGGAGCTCGGGCTGGACGCTCGGTACTGTTTTAGTGACCGATCATCAAGATCTCCCTTTAAAAAGGCAGGGACAGGAAACGTGTTATGCTCAAGATCACCAGGTGAACATAAAGTAGAAAACAGCCTTGAAAAAGAAACCTAATGCAGCCACCACATCTAGGGACTTGTAAGCTGCAATAGACTACATTTTTGATTTTGGGTTAAATAGCACTTTTAAGTCTTATATTCGGGTCAATACTTTTTCCCAGTTTTTTTTTGCTAAAATTAGGTACCTCGGCTTATATTCGGGACGGCTTATACTCGAGTATATATGGTATTCCAAAAATGTAAACCCACAACTATGTTAACAGTCTTGTTGATATAGATGATTAAAGGAGAACTATGGGGTCAGGGCGCCCTCCCGTCACCCAAAGCTCAGTATATACTCAGTATACTGAGATGATGCAGCTGGAATGGATCCCGACAATGCTGTCTGGGTCCACCCAGCTGCGTGAGTGACAGCTGGCTCTGCCTATCTAGAGGCAGAGCCAGCTGTACCCGCCCCCTCCCCCATCCGTTCTGCCAGTCAGCGCTGGAGGATCGGACAGGGGAGAGGGGGGGAATCCCTGCAGGGAGCCATGAGTGACAGTCACGGCTCTCTGCAGGGATAGATCGAGAAGTGAGCGAGCAATGGTATTTGTTCGCTCACGTCTCGATCCACTGAGCCGACCTGTGACAGTTTCATTGTCACAGGTCGGCTCAGATTATGAGGCTAAGTGAAAATCACTCACCTCATAATTCTCCTTTAAAGAGCAAGACAATTCCCTTTTTTAACTTTTTCACACAAGTGTCCTTCATGGTTACTTTGCAGTTGGTAACATGTCTGAAACAATTGACCAATTCACATAATCTCTGCTGAAGGGGACAATCAGCCCCTGTTTGAACTTTGATGCTTCCCTACACCAGAGGTCACATGACCAAGTACCTTCATATGTATATTCTGTGTATTTAGGCATTTTACCAGCTTTAAAGTACAATTTTGAATCCCTTTAAATGAAGCAATTTCCAAAAAGGGCTCTAATATTGACTTGCCAAGTCTGACTGAAAACCAATAAAAGATTTGCACAAAAACTTTTGTATGACATCACATGTAAGGGAATGGGAATGCTTTAAACAAGAATTCACATCCTCAGATGCAGCTTAACAAACAGCAAAAGAGAAACGATAAGACACAACGTACAGTAACACACAGTATAAGAAATCATCTTTCAGTCATTTGATTATAGTAATCTGAAATCTGATTGGCTGTGAATTACTGAACCTTAGAGTACATTTTCACCACATTACATAAAAACATTTTTACAGTTACATTCTGGGGTGTTCGCAGCTTCCTTGTAGAAAGTCCTATGGATTATTTTTCACCAGGTATAAACGTAAAATAACAATTATGACAACTTGGTGAGATGAGAATGCCAGCATGACAGAAGCAAAAGGCAAAAATTAAAATAAAAGAACAAACAAAAAAAACACAAACGTGTAGACATGGCCAATTACCTCTGTAGGTGTTGGAGAGAGCAACTGAGGTGACTGCAAACAGCAACACAAAATAGGAAATTAGTGAGACGGCTCCATGCATGATGGGTATAACACATTGACAACAGTTCTGAGAATCCATGTATAACATTTACAGGTATTAAATATTCATGTGCACAAGCGTGAAATCAATACTACTAATAACCATGGCCTATCTGTGCTGTATCGTTATATCACAATTAGTAGACAGGAATTACTGGAAGATTTCAAGTATGAGGCGGCATACTTAAGCTGGCCATACACCTATAGATTTTCTATAGATTTTTTTTTCTATCAGCCTATGGTCAGATGGAAAAAGTGCAACAGATTCCTCCATCTATGCTAAAATGTGTGAATGGGGAATCTCCCGCTGGGCCAAGCTTCAGTATCCTGCTAGTCGGCCCCACTGGCTCTCAAAATACCTGAAAAATGCCTGCATCCAATCAGATTATTCAGGTATTTTGACAGCCAGTGGGGCCGACTAGCAAGCAGGGCCGGATTTCCCACTAAGCCACCGAGGCCTGGCCTCGGGCAGCAGGGGTGTGGAATTCCTATTACCTGACGCCCGGGACATGCAGTATCGGGCGGCTAGTTTTTTTCTACTTTTAGCCCTGCTTCCGGCAGGCAGAGCTAAATGTAGAGCTATCTCGGCAATGCCGCCAAAATCAGTTGTATGAAACCTGCCGGTCAGTCCGCCCCCGCAGCCCCGCCCGTGCACCCCGCCCCCGCGCCCCCCCCCCCCGCGCCTACCTCTGTCCCCGCCGGCCGCCTCTCTCCTCGCTGGCCGCCTCCCTCCCCGCTGTGGTTTTCAGGAGCCCCCGCTCTTCTGGGGGACTCGGGACCACGGAACATTCATTCAGGATGGAGAGCAGGGAGCAGAGCAATTGACATTCTCCATTGGGGGGTTGGCAAGCAGGGGGGTGCATTGAGGAATCTGGCCTTGGGGCAGCAGAGAGAGTAAATCCGACCCTGCTAGCAAGATACTGAAACTTGGCCCAGTGGGAGATTCCTCCATCCACACAGTGTAACGTGTCCCCCATGTGTCCCCCATGTGACAGCACTGTCACATGGGGAGTCTATAGCCCTATGGCTCTGGCGACTTCCAGCTTGCAAAGAACTTTCCTTTGCTCCTGGTGGCTGAACCAACAGGTAAGCAAGAGAAAGGCGAGTATGTGCTGCTATCGAGGGCTTAATTAAAGTGGAACTACATCCTTCGATCCCTTACAGCCAGGGAAGGTGCCATGTTAGCCTTTTTATGGATTGCGGTTGCCATGGTTCTGTACATGTGACCACTTATGACACCAGCCATTTGAATGCTTGAAAGTTCAGTTGAAAGTTGAAATAAGCACACTGGCAATCTTGACAATTGGCATATCCTAAAAGAAAAGTTTTGGAAGACATGAAATTGCTGGGACTAGTTCCACTTTAAGTGAACCTGTTGCTTTCTCAAGAGCAGACAAAATCTGGAGCAGATTTGCACGGCAACCATTCAGCTTCTCTCTTTCATTGTCAAATCTTACCTGAGCAAACTGAAGAGAGATGCTCTTAGTATGGTTAGTATGGGCAACTGCTCCAGATTCTGTTTGCTCCAGTTTTAATAAATTCCCCCCATTGTCTGCTACCAAAAGTTTTGGTTTTGTAGCTTTTCGTTTGCTTCCATGACTGTTGACATTGTTTTTACTGAGTCTGCCAACCTGTAAAGTTGCAGTAAAACACAAATGTTGCATCGCTCTACAAACAGGATGTAGGGCTTGTATATACATTAGACAGATATCAATGCATGTACACAAGGCCCTTTTATAAACCTAACTACACTTTGCAATTGGTATTTACATCTATCTGAAGCAAGAAATTGCATTTAAAACACGCAGGAGGAAGCAGCATGGAAAACCACACCAAAACCTCAAGAGGCCTAAAACATCTTCAGATGTAAGAAATACAACACAATGCAGCTTGCTGCATTCTTTCTGGCTGCCTGCCAAGTAATATAGAGGTATAGAAGGTTGACACCATGGACTAAAGGAGCATGTAATTGTTGTGTATGGGGGGTTTTGCATGCTCCAGTCTGACACTGTACGTTGAGCATCAAGTGTGTAATTGCAGTGATAGCAGACCACCGGATCCCTATGGGGCAGGACAGGGGGCACCATATTGTCTGGCTGTGCTATAAGCTATGAAGCACCATCATACCAAATGACACCCATACTGGTCACAGTAATTAGCACTCTTATATATATTTATGCAGATATGGTTTTTGTCTTTTAATGTGTAAATTGGCTGCAGTAAGTTTTATCTGGACTGAAATCAGGCATATAATGCAGGATCAGGAGGAGTAACTAGGAATTAATGTATATGATTAAATGATAGGGGCTGGAGATATGATGCATACTAATTCTTTGAGTTTCATAGTAAATATGGAGTAGTGGAAGAAGAAACAGTTTCTTCATTTTTCTGGTAACATTTTCTCATGAACACAACAAAGTAAGCAAGCTCCATTAATGTGAGGAGATGCAGGCACAAAAGCATTGTTAGTCTGCTACTTCCCTGACACAGAAGAGGAATTGAGGATTGAGGACTACTAGCAAAAAGGCAGAGAGAGACACACAGAGGGTTGGATCAGCATTTGTGATCTCTATATAAATATAATATTTGTAGGTCCATCATTATATTTATGTATATATTATACATATAAAGATTTTTGTAGCTATGATTATTTGCATGTGAATGGTCCATTATTTGATGAAATGGAAAATAACCTGTGAAAAATAATATTCACAATTGTTTTCTAACATAACTGTTAGATATTCTGTAAATTGAATACAGTCAGTATCAAGATCTACTTAAGAAGGCCACACGCTGGTTAAATTGTGATCAATGTGTGGCCTCATCAGGATTTCCACCCTTCACGTTCAACAAAAAAACGATTTTTCAATTTATTTTTGCTGAAGGAGTCGGTCTGAAAAATCTTGGTTGAACAGTGACTGCATCCATTCTTACCAATAGCAGGGTTGTCCCGGTTGAAAGGCAATATGACAATCTGATTCCTTGGTCTCGGCTTTTCCTGGACGTCTGGTATGAGAGCCAGAATATGATCAACAGACTGCAGTCTCCATAACTACCACAGGAGCCCACACATGGACCTCTCTGGTCTCTGGTTTAAATCACTTTTTCAAGTGCATTGCAGGTGCCATAATAGCACAAGAAGCACACAGGTCCGCAATGGTGGCTGGGCTATGCTCAGTTCTATTGTTAGCCCTTGTGGCAGTGTACCAGTACAGAGTGGACATCCCTTACTTTATCAAGCACTCCCATAAATAAAGCCTGCTAGTCTATTTAAATATCTTAAAATGTTAATTAATGCTGTATGCTTCCAATACCTCTCCATAACTATGCCTGTCGTCTGCTGCATAACTGATGTACGGAGAATAGGAGATCATGTCAGGACGGTCAATATTATAGATGGCTTTATCTTTAGGTAGAGCTGCCAAATCTTTGTAGTCAATGATCTCATCGCCAAGCTTTGCCTAAAGATGACAGGAAAGAGAGAGAAGACAGACAGGTAAGGGCAGGATACTAAGTCACAGTTCACTAAGTAAAATAAATTAAATGTGACATTCTTAAGGAAGAACACAGCAGAGGACAGAAATCTGTACATGGAAAGCCTCTGATGCCACTGATGAACATAGGTGTACAGGTCCCACTGATATACTGTATATGTTCTACATCTAGAAAGAACTAAAATGATAAACCACCAAATGAATAACAGTACCATTTTATGAAATACACACATGTTACAAGGCTTTTTATACACTCTCACCATATTGCAAACTATTTTAAAAGCCTTTGTAGGGTAGCCATTCCCAGCCATTTTCATATAGTAGTTTCTTCTATCAATGCCCCCAAAGCGCAGCTATAGCTGCAAGTCATCAGGGCTCTTTTATATAATGGAATTTGGCCAGCACCGATTAAACAGTAGCTCTGTTTGACACAGATGCCACCCTTCGACAGCAGTGCCATGTCCCTCAGCTGTGGCTATGCTTTAGTGCTGCTTGCTGAAGAGAGTCCAAAGCTGCTGCTAGATAAGCAATTCACAGCTTGATGGGGCAGAGTAACTCACAAAGGATGAGATGTAATATATGTCGCTAAATATATTTCATCTGTCTTTATATTAGCATCTAACAATTTTTGTCACCCCATTAGGCTAACAGTGGGAATGTCTGAAGACTGTGCAGTCAGACTAAATCCTTTCATACATTGAGGGCTAGAAGGGGAATGGTCTAGGCCAGGGGTCAGCAACCTGCGACTCCGGAGCTGCATGTGGCTCTTTCATCCCTCTGCTGCTGCTCCCTGTCCAGGGACGGAAGTACCGCCGGTGCAGCCGGTGCGGGGGGTGGTACGGGTGTAACTGCACACTGTGTGCTGTTATTTAATTTAATTAGAAAAGTGGATTATAATGGGGAACATTACACTGTAATGTTGCCCTTTATAATCTATTTCTCTGATTAAATGATTAGACAGGGCCGCTGTTCTATCAAAGTTTGTGACTAGGTTGGAATGTGTGACCGGTGACGTAGTCACACATTTCAATATAATCCCGCCCCCTGTTTTTTGGTGGTAGAAGGTGTGACCACCAATAGGTGAAGCATTCCAATGCTTTCTCAGCTGTTCCAGGGCAGATCTGCATCGCAAATTGTATGTGCAGGAGAACTGATCTGCCCTGGAAGAGCTGTTTGGTCCTGAAATGTTACTTCTATCCGACTTTGTGAGTGGGGTGAAATGTGAGATTGCACTCACAGAGTCGGTTAGAAGTGACATTTCAGGACCGAACAGCTGTTCCAGGGCAGATCAGTTCTCCTACACATACGATTTGCAATGCAGACCTGCCCTGGAATAGCTGAGAAAGCGTTGGAATGCTTGACCTATTGGCGGTCACACATTCCATCGCCACAAAACTGGGCGGGATTACATTGAAATGTGTGACCCCGTAACTGGTCACACATTGTAACGTAGTCACAAACTTTGATAGAAAACCGCCATTAGAGGGGTATGGCCGGTACCCATGTGAGGGGTCTGGGTGCCCTGGGGGGCCTCTTACATGACTATCAGCTGTACCAGGGGCGGAATGGCAGAGGTGACAGGGGAGGTGGTGGAGGAGGCCAGGCCCCAGCAGCAGCAGGTAAGAGGAGTTGGGAGGAGGTACAGGGAAAGGGACCCCCGGCGACCAGCCCACCTGAGGCCCTGCGGAGCTCAACATAGAGAGTCTCAGATGGGCTGTGCAGGATCTATGGTGTGCTCTGCAGGGTCACTCTCAGGTGGGCTCTGCTGGGTCTCAGGTAAGTCCAGAGTCCAGTGCATTACTAAGCCCAGAGTCCAGTGCGTTACCAGACTCCAGTGCGTTACTAAGCCCAGAGTCAAGTGCGTTACTAAGCCCAGAGTCCATACATAGCATTAGGATAAAAAACGATATATATAGTATTATCTTCATTTTAGATGTCAAAAAGCTTTTGAGGCTCCCAGTGTTTTCATTTCTGTGGGAAACGGGTCCAAATGGCTCTTTACATGTTTAAGGTTGCTGACTCCTGGTCTAGGCAATCTTACAGAATGGGGGGGGGGAGAGAAAGAGGAAGTGTCAAAACTTCAGGCTCTTATTCGTGGTGTCACCCTCTAGCTATAATGAATTGTGTGAATGACACCTTTGGATGACCAGAGGTATAACCCTTTAGCAGGTAAACTGTATTTCAATTGCATACTTAATTGGAGTTCTGGATTTCTATAATATGACAATATACAATACAATATACAATGAATGGCAAACTTACATAAATAACTCTACTTGGGGACCCAGAGGTACTTGACGCAGGGACTGATATGATGCTCTCTGAGGAAGTTCTTGTCTCCTGAGGAATAAATGCGGATTATTAAGCATGCAACTAGAAGAAATCAACGAACAAAAAAGAAAGCTGGATGAGTTAAAAAATCATGAACTTGTGCTAGAGTTGCAAGGAAGTCTTGCAATTCGATTTACCAATGGCCTCAGTGGACATTAAGGGCACTATTACTGGATAGGGGGAAGGCTTCTGGGCTTCAAAGTGAGTCAGTGACTTTATATACTTTACAAGACATGACATGTCAGAACTTGTTATTTAATCTGCAGCCTAAGAACAATCCCAGGCTTCTTTAGAGAACCTTCTTTGTTATAGAATTGCTTCTTCTGTCCAACAGAACATATTATAAGGCTATAGAGGTAATTGACATTGATATATTGCAGGTCTGTAATAGTGTGCGGAGCAATGCCAAATATCAAAATGTTGTGTTTTTTCCCCACTAGTTGACAAGCATGTTAACAAGCAAAAGGAAAGCCTTTGAATCGACATACTCTGTAGCATGCCACTGGGAGAAGAAACACAAAAAAGGAGGGAGCCTCGGTTGGTAGCTTTCAGTGCAGGTTTTTGGGTACCAAAAACAAGTTGAAACTAAAGCATTTACCCACATGGTCCTCAAATGGTTTTATGTTTTAGGCTAACTCTAACAATAAATGAAAAGAGCAATCCTTCATCAGGAGAGAACTGGCAAATCTATAGGCACAGGCCCTTAAAAAATCAAAGTACCTTGTTTCTTTCTTCTGTTTTGGCAGCTTGTCTACAGATTGGATGCCATATTGAGTCCCCTGTTAAAATAAAAATGGTACATTTAGGATGCTGATCTATAAATAAATATTACAGAAAAAAGGGCTGTTCTGAATCCACTTTCTGAGTTGACCTTCTGATGAAGAAGATTCCACAGTCTTGTGCCAGTGAATCATGCTTAGTATTGCTTGTGGAGAATGGGCTTTAACAACCATCAATGGTTTCTAAGAAGCAGGTAAAGACTGATTCAATTTTGAATTATATTTTTTCTTCAGTTATAATTTCAAGGACGCTAAGCTGCACTTAAAGTGAGCTAAATTTTAAGAATGCATTCAAATACCTTAACTATTAATATCAATTAATTTGTGCTGACGCTGCCCTTTCTTCTGTAGGGTGGCTAGTTTTGTTCCCCATGGTCCCTGTGTGTATTGTAAAGTAGCCACTGCTCCAAGCTCATTCCCGTGATGGACTATAATTTAAATACAAAATAGTAAACTATAAGTGAGTTTGTAGTGCCACACGCGAGTGAGCTTGGAGCGGTGGCTAGGAAACATGCTGCTCAGAAAGTCTTTACGCTCAATTCACTAAGCCATGACAAGCAGTATTTGCCATAAAAATCTTTATGCAATGTGAACTGAAAAAAAAACAGATTGGCAAACATAATGATTATTATCGATTTCATATATATGTATAGTTTAGGGACTTAAGATTTTCATTCATTTTAATGTTAAAGAATCAGTTGACCCAAAACTAAATATAAATTCTATAGATGTACATACAGTACACTATATGGTCAAAATGTGGACACCTGTTCAAAAAGGTGCTTTCAATGCTAAAAAATCTCATGGAGAACCTCTGGTACTTTTCTGTTCTAGCATGATTGTGTCCCTTTGCACAAATTCAGGTCCATAAAGGGAAAGTTTGATGAGTTTTTTTTAGGAAACTTGAGTGGCATGCACCAAGCCCTGATCTTAAACCTACTAAACACCTTTGGGATGAACTAGAACATGATTGTGAACCAGGTCTTCTCGTACATCAGAACCTGACCTCACAAATGCTGAATGGGCACAAATTTCCACAGGCACATTCAAAAATCTTGCAGAAAGCCTTCCCAGAAAAATGGTGACTGTCATAGCTTCAAACGAGAGAGTTGGGGGCAACTCTGTATTAATGTCCATGGTTTTCAAATGGGATGGCCAAACAGTCCACATAAGTGTGATGGTCAGGTGCACACAAATGTTTTATCATACAGTGTGTGTGGGAAATATATACAAATAAATAATATTAATCGCCTACTGTCTTTTTATATCATTCACACTTGAGATCTCTAACTTTCCATGTTTTTCAGTGGAAGAGTTTTAGAACCTCTCTGAGGTTTTCATTACTGTCAGTGTCCCCATTAATGAGGTGGTCCTGCACTTCCTATCCCAGCAGCCACCAAAAAGGAGTTAATAGAAATCTCTGTGAGTGGAATCCTCACTGACAACTGTAAAATTTTGGAATCCCCATCACTTTATCTTCCAGTGATCAGTTGCTAGGACAAATCGTTTGGTTAGATCTCCACAGTGGGGCATAGATAACAATAGAAATTTGACCAACTCTAACAATGTTCTTGTGCTTTTCTGCGGTAATGCGTCTTCTCTGCAACAACAAATAAGGGGAGCTGATCCCTCCTAAAAAGATATGCAGATGTCTAGCCACTGCCATTTTACCACCTTTCAACCTCCTACAATGTTAATTCATGACAAGTTATAATCTCCATGCAGTAACAAGTTCCATTATCGTTAGATCCTATGCTGCTTTATATTTGTCTGATGTTTTCAATGGACCGCTGAGATTGGCCAGAATTAAGCCATGTTTGACCCCTCCTTCTCAATAAAATTCATGAAAATTAACACAGAAAAGGGGTTACCTTGAAGGTACATCTCCTCGCCTTCAGCAAACATCTGATTACATCGAACACATCGCGCACAGGTTGGGTGATAGTGTTTTTCACCAGCCTGTAGTAAAGAAAAACTGGATTGGTGAACATGTATTATGAATTCTTTTACCCAAGCTGATTAAACTAAAGGTACTGTGCCCCTTCACCTTAATGATCTACCATCACAGCCCCAAGAGAAAGCTAGTACTTCCAACTTCCAGGTATGGGGCACAAATCGACATTTGGCCTCCCCCCCAACCCTGGTGTAATACCCCTACTATTTCCAGTGCCTCAATAACCAATCAGCAGGCCAATACATTGATGTCTTATGAGGGGTGTGTATGTTGTGCCTTGTGTAGGATTGTAAGATTAAATTTTTAGCAAAATAATGTTAGGGAACTCCTGTGGTAAATTAGGGGAGCTAAAGGTAATAGCATATCATATCCACTGTTCAGCATGCAATTTATAAGTCTATTAAAACTTTTCATGACCACATGTCGTTAATACCTGGATCTCAAATTAGCATAATTTAGCAGCATCAGCATGCATCTAATATCTTGACCATAAATCTATAATTAATCTACCTACCTAAAGAATTGTTACATTAGTCTGACGGCTGCTGCTGTCAAAGTGCCTTTCTCTGTCTGTAAGGCACAATAATAGATAAACTAGCAGCTTCTTTTTTATATAAACCTATGTGATCTTAATGATTGGCTGTCATAATGTTCACATTTAGAGGATCCAATCAGAGTGGTTCCCAATTATTAGTTGAGACCAAACGCTGTCAGTGATACCGGGATCTCGGAATTGGAAGCTGCACTGCTACAGGTTCAATGTTACAAGGTGGTATGTAAGCGTTATGCTCACTGCTGTGGAACGTTAATTTAATTATTGTGGGCAGAAAGTGGTTAAAGAGTTTCATAATCTGCAAACTGAACCTAAATTTTAATTTTTATTGATGTTCTTAGTTTAAAATGTGATCAAATGAAAAGCAATTTGTCGTCAAAAGAAAACAAATAATTAACTAATTAACTAAGTAATGAAATAAGTAAACAATGATGGAACGTTTTCACTTACTGCAACAACCACATATATAATGAGTGATCCATTACAGGAGAACTCCCCTAAGCACCATTTATATCTATATATGACCACAAACCATAACTCTAGAGCAATTTATGATTTGGGTATTTGTTGGTGTGGCTATAACAGTTATATACATGTAGAAGAATTAAATATATTTGGATTAACGCCTTGTTCTTCCCAGTATGTCTTGTGGTGGGGACACAGACACAGCATAATTCCAACTGACTCCGAATGACAAAGTGTATTTCCGCTTTCAGTCAAATTGGTATAACACCTACTTTATATTTGTTACATGTTCCCCTTTGCATAACTTTAAGGCCCCTTTCACATTGGAATTCCAATCAAGTCTGCCTATCAGTATTTTTGGCGGACCTGATCAGAAGCGCGATGTTAGTCTATGGGCAGCCAGTCCGTTTGCATCCAGTTACCCCCAGCTACGGCCAGGTCCAGAAAAACAAAGGGGTCAGAGTTCCGGCTCAGCAGACCTGACTGTGCAGCATGCCAGGTAATCTGATGTAAATAGACACATGTCCATTTACATCCAATTCCCTGTAGACCAACATGGGTCCAGTTATTTACGTTTTTTCCTCCAAGATGGAGGAAAAAACAATGACATCTGTTCCAATCAGCAGGTGACCCATGCATGGATTCTATGTGGATTGGTACTGAAGGCCCCCGTCTGAAAAGGACCCTAGAGGTATTCAGAAATTGCTGCTTACCTAGATAAATGCCCTTTTCTGAAAACTCCAGGACTAAAACATTCTGCATCTCCCTTGCTATGCAATCTTTAGGAGGAGCCAGGGGAGTTGTGTTTACCATAATAAACCCTGTCTGCACTGTGCTGGCAAATTTGATTATCAATTGTGCAGGGTTGTCTGTCCTAACAAAGATCTGAAGACATTGTATGTTATTGCACTGTCCGTCTTTTTCAAAGCAGAAGACGCTGCCCATAGAGTCCTATGTATAATGCTCCTCCAAAGAAACAATTAACAAGGTAAGAGATATATATATTTTTAATTATATTTAGGTATGTGATGTAAATGGGAACACATAACATAGACATAGTGGGGGTTTCTCAAATTTGACCGCAAAGGTTGAAATACACTTTAAACCAGGGTGGATATGGACAACAAATTATTCTGTGTGTCTGGTTTAGATCAACTAATTTTCCTATCAGCAGCCCTCTCAGCTACAAAGTTATTAGGTTTCAGGGCCTGTTCACACCAGATGAGTTGGCAGCTTTTTCCAGCGCAGCCCTTATGCACAGACAAGGCAATTTGATTTGTTTTCAGTTGGCTTGCTTGATACCACCACGTTGCAGTGGTGCACTAAAAAAAGTATTAATTTCCGGTTTAGTGTCAAGAATTGAATTCAAGGGTAGCTTGTATATTTTATATTGCACTTTCATTTTTCTGATTTGGGTCCAATAACTTGCTTTTGTGGGCGCTGAAAATTGTGTAGGCGTTGAAAGTTTCTACACCCAAAAATACTGTGCATTATTCTAGCTGCTCAGAAAATAACATTCCAATACCTTATGTATGAATATGTTGATCCTAATAAATCAGCTTATCCCTCAAATGAACCAGAACAAAGAAAGGAAAAAATCTCACTGGTTGCTAAAGATAGCTGAAACATTTCTTATTTTAGAAATTTCACCCAGTGCGTCTCACAATTAGATCCGGCTGATGAAATGCTGTCCAGTTCTTTTCTCCAACAACAAAACATCTATAAATAGAACAATCACACCTGTGTTCAAACCAAGATATAGCTAAAGATATAAATGGCGCTCCATCACATACTGAAGACCCCTGTGTGCAGAAAGTAATAGAACATGTGTTCTTTCCATGAGGTCAGAGAAAGGCCTGCCTGTTATACAACAAAGCAATGAAGGAATTGAAGTTCATATAACTACATTCTCAAAAACAAACAGCTAAACATCAGGTCACCGTGTCCAAAGAAGTATTAAATAGTTCATTTTTATTTCCAGTACTAGCCAGTACTAAAAATATCCAAGAACACTTTTTTTTTTTTGTAGATGACACGTTTACCTGTAATGTTGTAGTTTTTGTATTTCACGGCATGCCACATAGAGGCTAGTTTTTCGAGTGATCCATCACCTCATTTTACACAGGGTTGGATATTGTTTCGGAAACATATGCAGTTGCAACAGCCAAGGTAAGTGCCAAAAAAGTGGGCTAAGAGAAGCCCAGGGTTGACTCAGTGCCACATCTATAACTGGAGTATCAGGGGTTTTTTTCACATTTACTATATTATTGTTTTACCTCGAGAACTCGGCCTGTAATGAACTTCTCGCAGTGATCACATTTGATGCCAAAATTAGCATGATAGTCCATTTCACAGTAAGGGATTCCATCTCTAAAAGAAATATCATGCATTAGGAGATAACACAACTGAATATTTTCTCTTTACTTCTGAGAATTTAATAAATCCAGCAGACCAGAAACAGAAGACCTAAGAATGTGAGTAAGGTTATTCTACAGCAACTTACTAAGCCATTGCTGAATGCTGGTACTCACTTGGTGCCTCATACCTTCAGTGGACCACCTTGGCTAGTTTAAGAACTCACATAAGCCTAGACTTCTGATCCAATCGAGATTAAGCCCCACACCCTACTGACACTAAGACCTGCACCATTACTCCATAGTAGGATAGGAGGAGTGAGAACAAATCTTGAATAAATTGTGACACCCCAAGAACATGTTGGGATTAAGAATGGGATTAAGACCTAAATGGGATCCACAGGGACACAAGGATCATTTTAAAGACTACAAAGTCCCACAAAGCACCCACACTTTAGAACTGTTGTCATCTTAGAAATGCTTTAGGCCAGGCCAGATTCATATTAAAAGTAATAGGAAAACTACATTCAACAATCACTCAACATCACCCAAAACCACATCATCCAAAAATGAATAGATAAGGATAACTAGCGAGCTAAAACCAGATCAGATTTATGCACATCATTGTAGTTGGTAATAATAGAATTACAGTTCATAAACAACAGATGCTGCTTAATATAAAGCTAAACATGTTTTTGTGCCCAATAAAATGCTAATCTTACTCAAAATTATTATACTGTAACAGAGGAGAAAAGCTGATGTCAGAAGACAACTTTGCTGACTTACTTGCTGATGTATTCTGCCTTTAAATAGATCCCACAGGTTTTGCATTTGAAACAGTCCAAGTGCCAGTGTTTTTCTAGGGCTACCAATGATTGGCCATTTTTTATTTCCAAGCCACAACCACCACAGTCTGTAAACAAGAAAAACATATTAGTTGTTTTCAAAAACATCAACCAGGTTTCCCATGCTAAAAAAGAAATGACCCTTTAGGGGATAACGCTTCATTATGACATGAGGGTGAACAAGGATGCCACCATGATGTGAGATGGGATATAACCTGCAAGGGATCTGGGGCTTCTCCACCCTGCTGTTCTTACAGAGGTTTCTCATTCACCCATTAAAAATCTAATTTTCCCATCCATTTATCAAAAGATTTCTGAGACTGGCATGTGCCTATGCAACACATTGTGTACTATGGTTTCTATGGCTATATAGGAGGGTTATAGAAAATCAAAACCATGCGGTGCTGTTGAGTGCTGGTAGCCACACAGCTGCTCAGTATTGCTAGAAAACATCTGATGGTATGAGTTGGTGAGTAGACATTTTCTACCTGGTTATTCAGAGGGTTATCCTCTTCAGTGTCCTACCTTGAAGCCTATTCATGCTTTTGCAGCTTCACAAAGTATAATGCATGGTGTTTATTCCAGGAACATTATTATTTCCCAGTTCACATTAAGGGCTCTGCACTTCTTTGTGCAGTTGTGCAGGTCAGAGGCTCCATAGTATATCATTAGAATGTGTAAAATCAAATATGAAACACTGTTTTGGCTGTGACAAATCATGATGGAGAGCAACGGCGTGGGGGCGCAGACAGCTGTCAGGTGTCACAGGGGGCCGGGCCAGCTCAGCCTCCTGTGACAGCGATGTCAGGATGGTGAGCGGGTACTTACAGTGATCAGTGATCGCCGAGTGTTTGTAAATAATTGAGGACATAGTATGTTTACTGTGTCCCCAATTATGAATGAATGGGAGTGATCTACATCAATTCCTGTTCATTTATGATTGTGGACATAGCAAACATACTATCTCCACAACGTATGAATGAACAGGAAAACTCAGTATTGTGGCTTCCTGTTCATTTATAACAGGTGCTGCAGAATAAGAGATTGAGGACTCTGTGTTCTCAATCTCTTTTTCTATTTTAAAATGGAAATATCAGGGATCTGTTTAGACCCCTGATATTTTCCCAGAGCCCCCAAAGTAAAGTTAAGAATAGAAGTATAAAAAAATAAAAATATTTATTAAAAAATAAATAAATAAATAAAAATAAAATGTTTAAAAAAAGAAAACATTTAGAAAATAAAAATAAAAATTAAATATAAAAAAATAAAAAAGGTTAGAAAATAAATTATTTTCGGTTTCAGCCCGACATTTTTTCTGCTTCAATTCTGCTTGTAATTTCGGTGTTATTAATGTGTGTGCACTAGTGAGCTGCATTAATGTGTGTATATGCGCCAATACCAGTTTTTCTGTATCGAGTATAAGTACTGATATTTGTTTGGGGTACCTCGCTCATACCAAATACTTATTCCGGAAGTCCTACAAGGAAGCCAGACGGCATGTAATGATTTGCCGCCTGGCTTCTTGATTAGCCGGGAAGCGGGGTCCATGATCCCATGTCACCAGGTGACGAGGAAGCATGTAGCTAGCTTTCCGGCCAAACAGGAAGCTGGGGGGCAGGTAATGACTCACCGCCTGGCTTCCTGATTGGCCAGCTTCCTGACCAATCAGGAAGCGGGGCGGGAAGTCATTACACACCGCCTGGCTTCTTGAGTGGCAAGGGGGCATGGAGCCGGCTTATCGGCTAATTAGGCCCTGGTGACGAGGGAGAATGGACCCGGCTTCTTGGCCAATCAGGAAGCTGGGCGGCATGTAATGACTCGCCGCCCGGCTTCCTGATCCTGGAAGTTCCGGTATAGGAATAAGCATCGGGAGTATTTGGACGAGTGTGAGTGCTCACCCAAATACTCGGTATCGGCACCGATACTAGTATCGGTATTGATGCATACCTAGTATTTTATATCTGCCTGGAGTTCAGCTTCGAAAGGTCGACATCACAATGATATGAAAAAAGGAAAAGGTAACTTACTTCTGAGAGACTGGAGAGAGAGATTACTGTTACCGACACTGGGTGAGATGGTACATTTTTGGCATATGCACTCCTTTCCATTAAAAGTCACACGGTCGCCAGGAGGAAATGGATTTCTGAGATGCAATGGAATCACATAAAAGAAGCATACAAAGAAATGTTCAGAAAAGTTAATACCAGGACAACACAGATTAAAATACATTCCAGATGGTCATAAAATTCAAATAGAAGGAACATTAAACCCAAAGCTAGCCAAAGGTTACAATCTGAATATATAATCTAAGTTAGATTAACCAAGAGCTATGTAGTGTGAAGGCCTAACTGCTTGGATATAAACTGTGATGGTTATTTAGGCAGGCCATCATATTACATAGTAACCGGCAACAGGCCAGGCACATTACTATCTCTGATAATAGAATCTTAGAATCTCTATGCAATCTCCTTTAGCCTTATCTACACTACAGAACTACAGTGCATAGTGTAAGCCAACATAAACAATATGTATTCTGTTACACAGGCCCTTTGCACTACACAGTGGTTGGTAGATCTAAATGAGGATATACAATTACATTGCAACATGTATGTTCATCTTAGAAGAGATTGTGCAGAAAATGTGTGGCCATATTTAACACGCATTCAGCTTAAAGAACAACTTCGGGCAGAAATAATCGCAACCCTTGAAGTGGGGCTACCCCTGCACTGCAAAGGTTAAAGGAGAACTATGAGGTGAGTGCTTTTCACTCACCTCATAGTTCTAGCCGACCTGTGACAATGAGACTGTCACAGGTCGGCTCAGTAGATCGGGAGGTGAGCGAACACATAACCGGCGTTCGCTCACCTCTCGATCCTGTCACAGCCCGCGGTATTCTGAGCTTAGGGTGATGGGAGGACGCTAGTTTGTGTCCTCCCGTTACCCAAAGGAAAACTATGGGGAAAAGCCCTGACCCCATAGTTCTCCTTTAAGTACTTGTTTTTCTCTAAGGTGTAAATTAAAAAATGTATACTTATCGCTAATCCAGCTGGCTGCAAGTCCCTACAGCCTTTCTCCCCCTCCACTCTGGCGATGGAATGTCTTGGCGTCCTCACGTCCAATATACTGTATTGGATGTGATGACTCACAGGTTCTTAGACTGCTAGGATGCAGGGAATGAGGATTCGGGTAGGTATATCTTTTTTGCTTTACACCCTAGACGAAAACAAGCACGTACCCATTGCAGTGCAGGCATAGTCCCACAGCAAAGGTTAAGATTATTTCTGCTTGGAGCTCTTCTTTAAAAAAGTAAAGGTCAATAAGTAAAGGTCAGCAAGCAAAGTGATCAGTCTCTTTAGTTCATAAACCCCAATGAAGACAAGTTAACTGATGTATGAAGATACAAAGAGAAGATGAACTTGAAAAGACTGGTTAAAGTGTATCTAAACTCCAGTACACAATGTTATACATTGCACCTCAGCAGTCCTTGGATGTGGCGGTTGCATTAGTCTTCTTTATTTTCAGGCATTTCACCCTTTTTTTCACCTGATGATCCTGCCAGTAATACACTTCCTGTCCTAGGGTGACAACGCTCACTCACTTTACTGTATCAATGAAGGGGCAGCTTTGTCACGCTAGGCTTTCCTGATTTGAACAAAAACATCCCTTTCTCCCCATCTCTATTACATGGGTGGGAAGTGTTCTGTAGTCAACAGAAGCGAGCTGGGAAGCACGATAAGATTGTTTGAGAGTTCAGTTCAGTGCACAGGAAGTTACATGGACACTGGATTTCAGCCAGGAGGGTATTTTTTGTACTTAGCCCCCTAAAAAAAGAAAACCAATGCAGCTACCACATCTAAAGACAGGTAAGCTGCATTATACAACTTTGTTCTAGGGTTTAATGGATTGGGATTATTTTGGGGTGTTTCAAAGAGAGCCAGTGGGTAATAAAGGGATGCATTTTTACTACTCAATTTCTGATTGCCTAATCAGGCCGTATTATGATACTGCTGTGGTTGTTATTTTTATTTGAAGCTAGGTGATCACCAAGCCTCTTTCACACCTTATGGAAACAAGATGATGTTGGTCTACAGAGTGAGACTGGGTGGAAGCAGCCTTGTAAGAAAAGCTATTGTTTTGTGGAGAGTAAAGGAGGAGGATAAACGAGATCCATCTCTTTGGTAAAGAGAGAGTGCCAGGCAGGCTGAAATTTAAGTTATAGTTTTATTTTTCTTTTGGAAATGTTACCTAGGTTGTTTGATGCTGGGAACTCAATGAAACTGGCTGCAGTCAAACTTTAACTGTTATGTGGAGTTAGTTTTATTATTGGAAGTTATGGAAGCAACACTGGATAGACATTGCAATTCTTTTCGTTCTGAATCAAAATTCGAACAAATTTTATGACATTCGGACATTCAGACACATCCGAATTTCTGAATCCCAATGCATCCGAATCTGAATTTCTATTTCCGAATTTCGGATCCCCAAATTTTGTTGTAACAAAGAAACTGAATCGGAGATGTGTGACTTTTATGGCCAATCAGATGTGTTTTTCGGTTTAAAGCATTCTAATGTTTCTGAACACGAATTTTAGTTACGGCAACATGGGAGCCATATACTGTATATACATATAATACTAAAGCTGGGGCTCCTAGACCCGAATGGCATTCGGGGTCCGAATTTTCGAATTGCATTCGGAAGCTCCCGGATGCCATTGGGTTTGGGAGCCTCAGCTTTAGTAATATATGTATATGGCTGCCAGAACCGAATGGCATTTGGGAGCTCCTGAATGCAATTCGGAAATTCGGATCCCGAATGCCATTCGGGTCTAGGAGGCCCAGCTTCAGTATTATATGTATATAGTGTATATGGCTCCCACTGGGACTGTCTTTCAGTCTCATTGTCACAGGTCGGCTAGAACTATGAGGTGAGTGAAAAGCACTCACCTCATAGTTCTCCTTTGAAACATATTTGAGCAGTTGATGTACACATTCTCTGTACAATGCAAATCTTGTGAGTAAGCCTAATGATGGAACTCGGTCCTTCACTCACCTGCACACAACGCATACAAAACAGCGAGGATGATAGGTTTTTCCTAGTGCAGAGACCACCTCCCCTTCAATGAACTCATCGCAGCTGAAGCATCTGGTTCCATGCAGCCTCTGATAGTCCTGTGTACAAATGTAATCTCCTTGCCGCACAAAGAACCCTCCCTGGGCCAGGTCACATCCGCAGACTGAAAGAAGAGGAAAAATAACCGTGTTACTTTCCGAATCAAGCACTGAAAATCTCATTCAGATCCACAAGCAAAAATCTGTGGCTGGAGAATAAAAGAAACAACCTCAATTATATCTGCAGCTGCCGCCTAGAATTGTGAGCACAGATATCAAAGTGTACCAACCAGTGGAAATCACAATGTATTCATGTTATGCTGACTGTATATAGGTTGATCCTGACACTACACAGGTGACTGTGCATTGAGATAATCTGACACTTCAATCCAAGCATGGCCAGTTTAAAGTAAACTGAATTCTTATTCAGTGTTTCTCAACCTTTTCTCAGTCACGGCACTTTTTAAAAGTATGCAAAATCTTGAGGCACCCCATTTCAAAAATGAAAAAAAAATTTAAATGTAAAAAATGTGTGGTTCCCCCCCATCCTAAAATCGATACCAAACCCTTATCCTAGATAGGGGTCTGGTATGGAATTCAAAGGGGGACAAACACACAAAAAATGGGTTCCCCTCTTCACATCAGAAGCCCCCTCCCTTAACAGCAGAGTTCCTCTTCATATCAGATGTGTTCCCCTCTTTACATCAGAGAGCCCCCCGCTTTCACATTAGAGGTTCCCCTTCCCATTAGAAGCTCCCTTCACATCAGAGTGCCTCCATTGACATCATAGTCCCCCTCCTTTCACATCAGAAGACCCCTTCACATCATACCCCCCCATTTCACACACGAGGCTCCCCCTTCTCATCAGATGCCCACATTACATCAGAGCCTCCATTTCCAATCAGAAGCCTCCCTTTCACAACAGGAGCCCCCTTCACATCAGAGCCCCCCTTTAATCAGAGCCCCCTTTTTCGCATGACAGTCCCCTCATTCACATCAGACGCCCCCACCGCCCCTTTCACATCATCACTTTAAGCATCTAGAAGCATGAACAACGCATCTAGCCTGACAGATTTTGCAAACAGATCTCTGCATAAAAACACAAGTGGGAAGTGTGAATGAAGCCTAACTTATGGTTGTTTATGTGTCTAGCTGATAAAGAAGCAATTAACGAGATCCGACGCAGTAATATTAAATGAAAATTGAAAGATACCAGTAAATAGCTATTGAGACCCGGAAGAAAATACAGCTGCAGTATGTTTAATGTGATTTTTATATAACCCATTGCAGCTCGTTTTAGCAGAATTTTCAGGGTGTTTCGGAGAGTCTGCAGCCAAGTCACGTGACTCTGGACTGTGCAATCTCCCATATTGGGTTATATAGTAATCGTTTCCACTGCCATGTTTTTTCTGCGCAACCGTCCCTTGGTCCTTGAAGCACTTGTTTTACTATGGTATAACATCATCTGTGACCTACTTCTGGCTGAAGATTGTGTGACAAAAGAAAATCTGACCTAACTGTCACGTTTTATATAGAGCTCTATAAGACGCACAATGAGGTTGAATTTATAAATATGTGGCACCCATTCCTGCTTCTGCCACTCCCTATCCACAGTCAAGTAGGCAAACTCTTAGAGATCTATCTAAAAAAAGTATTGCATAGCTATTCATCCAGCGAAACGGCATGTACATCCATTCTGTGCGAATTACCCAGCTATTGTAAGAATGTGGCAAAAATGTAATGTTCTTATGCTATTTTCTCTTTCCCAGTAGTAAGGATGATCACATTCATCTGCCAATTCCCTCCAGCATTCCTTAGAATACTGGTATCGGTGCCGATACTGGGCATGTTCATGAGTACTCGTAAAAACGCTGTATCCTCCTTCTAATTACCGCTGCCCGCACAGCCTCCTGAGACGTCAGACACAGCCCCGGTGAGACTGTACACTGACCTGGTGAGACGCCGCACAAAGCCCCTGGTGAGACCGCACTGCCCTGGTGAGATGCCGCACACAGACAATGTATTGCTGAGATTTGTAGTCCTAGAGAGAGAGAGAGAGAGGAGAGAGAGGAGAGAGAGGATAGAGAG